AAGTTATTTATAAATTTTATTATTTTTTTTTTTTTTAAACTTAAATAAAAATTTAATAAATCATTTCAAGATAAAAAAAAAAAAAAAACGAAAACATTAGTAATAGCTGTACAGTAAATGTTGATTCATTTTTGAAAAACCTTTTAAATTATTAAATATAAAATCTTATTTCATAATTATTTATTAAATAATATATTTAACGGTTATTTCACAAAAAGTGTACATGCGGTATTTCAGAAAATACAAAAACTTATAAATAATGAATCAAGCTTTTATAAAAATTGACACATTAATCAGACTAAAAATTTGTAGAATTAAACGAATAAATGAGTTCATAAATATAATTTATAAATGATGAATGAAACGACAGATAACTTATATACTTAATCTTATATTAAACATCAAGAGTACTAAACATATTTACAATTCACAGGTTGAATTATCAAGAAGCTCTTATATTACATGTAGTTTGCTGGCACGATTTTTATAAACAATACCAGTCAAACAATAGCAACAAAAAATTATTGTAATCACAATTAAATAGTCTCAAATACACGCATGAAATGTGCAAGACTTTTGCTTCATAGACTTTAGACTTTCACAGTTTTTTTTCTCGAAAAGATGTACTTAATGGATGCGTCCCTTACATATTTTAAAGCATATTACATTAATTAATTTATTTATTTTTATCACATCGTTGACCAATCTAACATTTATCATAATGCAAGTATCAAAAAAATTTTCATATACTTTTTGTAATACTTGTGTTTTAGAATATTCCAATTATTTTCTGTATTATTATTTTTTATTACACAAAATTCCTTTCAATTTCCTATTGCTTTTAATATATATATATATATATATATATATAGAAATTGCCTGTACAAGGGTTACAATTATTACTGGTATTATTGTATATTTATTATACGTAACATATATAAGAGTTTACTCTTGATTACAATAGATCCAATTTTAGAAATGAGCGATTGTAAAATTATAAATTTAAAACGCTTAACAACACGTTGAATGTTTCTTCTTTACGAAAATGTTATTTTATATAGTGTTACTTTGACTCAAATTATATCTTACAAGGAACAAACATAATTGTAATAAGACTGAGCATAATATCTGAAACAACAAGTCTATGATATTCCAAGAATGAGAATATCGGGATGTTTATTTTATTAATTTATTTTTAATTCTTTATACATATTCAAGTTTATTAATGCCGAAATAACCGTCGTTTTACATTTTGTTTTGCGAATTAAAAAAACAAAAAAAAAAAATATATATATATATATATATATATATAAATAAGTTTGCATTTATTTTATTATAATTATTACTTTTTTTTTTTTATTAATTGAAAAATAAATATTACTACAGTTACTTATAAACAGTGACAAGAATGTGAAAATGAATCAATTAAAATATATACATTAATATATATATATATATATATATATATATATATATATATATATATTTGTATTGTAAGAAATGTTGAAAAATATAAAAATGAATTGTAAGAAATGTTGAAAAATAAAAGAAATTAATTGAATTAATGTTAAGTTGACTCGGTTATTCTTGATATTTCAAATACACATTTTGAAAAGAGATAAAACAAGGCGATAAATCATTTACATTTAAATATTAGCTGAAAATAGTTTCCATTAATTAAATGAAAAGAAAAGTGATAACCTTCTCCTTTTTTAATTTTTTTAACGCATTAGTATTCGAATTCTTCACATTCTTATTTTATTATTAACTGAAGGCAGATAATCATATCTTTAAAAGCAGCTTAGACTTTTTAAAAGAAATATGCTATTGCACATTTTAAATGATTACAGTTTATGTGCAGAAAAATATTAAAATGATTATGTTTTTCTTTTTAATTTCATGTAATTATTTATTAAGAAAGTTGAAGTTTTTTTATCAATGATCAAATGATCAAATATTATCTTTTACTAATTTCGTGTAATTTAAATAATCTAAATTACTTGCTTCATTTATAATTTATCCCATTTCCAAGTACATTTTCTTTTATCATTAGTATAAGACTTTTGATAAGCATCTTAGTGATTAATTTTCATCCAACACGAAATCATTTCTTCTCTTTTTTCGTTAATTTTCTGAGGATTAATTATCAAGACGAATTCATAAATATTCCATATCGACAGGATAAATATATTTATAACTTGAAATCGATCATGCAGTAATTCATTACACTGGTGCCACTTAAGCATCGGTAAAAGTAATGAGGAATTAGCAATGCAATGCTCGGCATATATTTATAGTAACGATTTTATTGTTAAATTTTCACAATAAAATCTTAAAGACTTTAAGCAGATGTATCTCATCCGAATTAAAATGGTAAATTCTACGCCAAATGTCATGAGAGTTAGATTATTGTTTTAAGACTGGTTCTGTCGATTGCTTTATAAAGAAGAAGAAAGAAAGATGGTCGATCGATTAAAATAATATGAAGGGATTACTAATCTACTTTACAAGATACACAATACCAAGCTTCATATTAACTATCAGTTTAAATATTTATTTTTCTTTTCTTTTCTCGATATATATATATAATGGACTACTGGAATTTTTTCATTTATTTATATATTCTTTTTATTATTTATGTTGTGATTGTCGTTAAATGTAGTTTGCTTTAAAACAAATGTATGTTAATTCATTTAAAAAATATATAAATAAAGATTTGTATTCTCTTAAAGTGAAGATAAATTGTGTTTTGTCGGCATAAAGTAAACGAGACATTTTCGTTTTTTCATTTTTATTAAATCAGTTTTAATAAGCCTTTTTTTTTTTTTGTATTTATTTATTTATTTTCTTTTTATAGTGGTTTATTAGAATTATTTTTATCGCGATAAGTATTTTAAGCGTATAATTAATAAAAGTTCGTTTTTACAAAGATTTACAGAATTTGTTGTGCTTTGTTTGTCGGTTAAACGCCCGTCTTTTATTAAAAGTACGTTTGTAAGAATTTTGCATGAAATTCAAGTAATCGAGTGAGAAATGGAGGCGTCAGAAAATTTTTTTTTAAACAATCTGCAATAAACATTGAAAATGTTATGTATCAATATGATCCTTCAATTATGTAAAATTGAATTTATAATAGTATGAGTATAAAGTATAAAACAATCAAACCAGTGACTAGTCTTAAATTTGTCTTAGTATTAAAAGAAGCGAAGATTATACATGAAAATTAATGAATTTAAGCTTTGAATATACTTGTTGCACGTAAGTAAGAATAATTCAGATCAGTTATGTCATTTGGGTTCCATTCTCTTCCTGTTCTCGAAAAAGGTAACTTTAATTATGAAAGAAAAAAAAAACATTACATCTTTTCGTACCCCTTGAAGATATCGATTTTGATATTTGCGTGTAATAAAATGAGTCGAACCGGAGATTTTTGTCTCGGAAATTTACAGTTCGTAATTAAATGATCGCCATTTGTTTTGTAAATATACGCATTATAAATGCCGCGTTTTAACAAGTGCTTTGGACGAAATATGATCAGCATCAGCGGGAAAACTATTTTATCTCTACGGTTAATTTTACATAACATGTAGTATTGGGCCGCATAAAAACTCAATCCACATATGGACTGAAACGAGGGAGAGAGAGAGAGAGAAAAAGAGTGCGGTGTCGTCGCTTTCATGCCAATGGGGCGACGAGCCGCCACGTATTTTTCATATAAATGCACAGCAGAATACGTGTGTGCAAGCGGACGGAGATCTCGACGAGACAGCTTGAAAAGGACAAGGTATAAGAGAAATGAGATTATAAGGAGGAGAACGAAGACAAAGGCGAGTTTAAAGGAAGATAAAGAGAAAGGCATAATGAAGTTGCAAGCCAGTCTATATCACAGAAACGGAGCTCTCCATCTCGTGGACAGTCTTGTTGAGGTTCGGGGACTCGAACATGCTTTCGGATCCACAAATTACCAGGGCGTCCTGACCTATTGGCGCCGCAGCCCCAACGAGGTTCTCGACCGAGGCGGTGCTTTTCCGACTCTCTTCTACTATAAAATTATAGTCCTCTTCCTCTTGGTTGAGCGCCTCCTGTCCTATGGGTGCCGCAGCCCCAACGAGGTTCGCGATCGAGGCGGTGCTTTTCCGACTATCTCCGACCATGAAATTGTAGTCCTCTTCCACTTGATTACGAGCATTCCCTCGTCGGATACTGCTGCGCAGAAGGTTCGCCACTTCGGCAGCTGTGAGGTTCGAAGTTCCGGGGCTGCCACTGCCACTGCCACTGCCACTACCGCTGCTACAGAGCCTCCGGTCGAGGGTGTGGTGAGCCCGGATGGCGGGGATCGACTCGCGTCGACCAGCGTTGCGATCCATCGTCCTCGCTCGACTCAATTGGCGCTCGGCCGTGTACGGTCTCCTCGTAGCGTCGGCTCCTCCCTGAAAATACAATCCAATGCTCCGTTCATTCCACTTTATCTTTCTTTCTAATTGACAAGGCAAATTTGCGAGTAAAGGTGCGCTTTAAGTGCAAAAAATCACGTTACCATATAGCTCGGCAAAATATATGGTTGATAGTAAGGCTCGATAAAATAAGGTGATAAAAACATGGTTGCCAGCCGTTATTGAATTGTTGTAATTCAAATAAATAATTCTATTATGAGAATGTTAAGTGTACGTAAGAAAGGCTGACAACGACGCTGATAGAAATGTAGGAAAGAAATTTGAAGAAAGAACCTCGGTGATATGTATTGCGACGTCGCGGGACGAGAGTCGCTGATTCATTTCAACGAGCACAGCAGCGTAATCGGGTGGGGGAGGCTGCTGTTGCTGCTGTTGCTGTTGCTGCCGCTGATGCTGGTGATGGTTGTGATGGTGGTGGTGGGACTGGTTGTTAATGCTCTGCTGCTGCTGCTGCTGCTGCTGCTGCTGCTGCTGCTGCTGCTGCTGCTGCTGCTGCTGCTGCTGCTGCTGCTGCTGCTGCTGCTGCTGCTGCTGCTGCTGCTGCTGCTGCTGCTGCTGCTGCTGCTGCTGCTGCTGCTGCTGCTGCTGCTGCTGCTGCTGCTGCTGCTGCTGCTGCTGCTGCTGCTGCTGCTGCTGCTGCTGCTGCTGCTGCTGCTGCTGCTGCTGCTGCTGCTGCTGCTGCTGCTGCTGCTGCTGCTGCTGCTGCTGCTGCTGCTGCTGCTGCTGCTGCTGCTGCTGCTGCTGCTGCTGCTGCTGCTGCTGCTGCTGCTGCTGCTGCTGCTGCTGCTGCTGCTGCTGCTGCTGCTGCTGCTGCTGCTGCTGCTGCTGCTGCTGCTGCTGCTGCTGCTGCTGCTGCTGCTGCTGCTGCTGCTGCTGCTGCTGCTGCTGCTGCTGCTGCTGCTGCTGCTGCTGCTGCTGCTGCTGCTGCTGCTGCTGCTGCTGCTGCTGCTGCTGCTGCTGCTGCTGCTGCTGCTGCTGCTGCTGCTGCTGCTGCTGCTGCTGCTGCTGCTGCTGCTGCTGCTGCTGCTGCTGCTGATGCTGATGCTGATGCTGATGCTGCTGATGATTATGATGATGATGGTGATGGTGGTGATTGTCGTGTGACTGCTGTAACTGTTGCCTCTGTAGTGCGGGTCTCTGTCTGGCGGCCGCGGCTGTGGCGGTCGCTGCAACGACGGCGACATTGGCAGCACTGCCACCCTCACCGAGAACATTGGCGATCCTACGAACGCTACGACGGAAGCTTTGTCGCAGCATCTTGGCGATGCGGGCGCCGGTGGCTGTTGTGTAGCTCGGGGGCGGTGTGTACTTGGGGGGCGGATCCTCGAACGGCAGTTCCGTTGAGTTGGAGACGAGGCCATTGCTTTGGACATTCGTCGTCCCGGTGGCTCCGATCTGCGTCTGGGTATTTCGTTGCTCATCCGGCTCCATAGACGGTCGATAAAGTAATTGGATCCTCTGCAATTACACCGTAAGGTTTAGCAAGTGCGGGGCGCAATGATAACGATGGGTGCACTGTTTGTTGCGCGTACATCGATCGTTTAGAGTGCGAAAATGAAGCGCCGTTAGTTTCAGTAAAGGCTCAATTGTATAGCTGTTTCGTCGTGGATAAATACATTAACGATGCTTTTTTCTTTCGTTTTTTTTTTTTTTTTTTTTTTTTTTTTTTTCGAATCTCTTTACTAGGGGATCTTTCCTTTGGGCTTTTGCGTGGGAATGAAAATTCTCGTTAATACGAGAAGGACGACGACGATGTTCGATGTTAACCGCAAGCTAATGCCGTGGTCGCTGGTTTTTGATTTGACAAATTTGACAAACGTTCTATTATTATTTTAGTCTGACTTCGAAGCCGTATGTACATAAACGACTATTCTCTTTTCTCTTTTTCCATTTACCGTTCGATTAATCGGGAAATGTCATTAAATGACGGATCTGTAAGATCGCGTATTACTCGTTGAGAAATGCATCGGTTTCAAATTTTATTGCTTCTAATTTATATAAAATTTTGACGGCTATGATTATTAATGTTTTAATATTAAACGATCATAAAAAAAAGAAAATAATAAAAAAAAAAAAAATATAAAAAAAAGAAAAGAAAAGAAAAGAAAAATTGCTTGTAGGCAAACAAAAATTTTTAAGTCATAATCAATTAAGCGTAATTTCTCGAGTTTAATATAATTAAGTAAGTTAGAGCGACGGAGATTAGACGTTTAGTGTTAAGAGAATGCGCATATCGTTTTTCCTTTTCTTTTTTAATCGATCGATGAGATATAATTTACTCAGCATAAAATTTATTAAGACCATAGCGATTTTTTAGCGTTTATATACCGAATAATAGAATTAAAACAAAACAAAAAAAAATGAAATCACAAAATAAAAAATAATATATATATATATATATATATATATATATATATATATATATATATATACATATTTGTTAAAAGCTATAAGATCAATATTAGTTAATTTTAAATAATTAATATATAATTAATTGACTCCAATATTGTCGATTAAGTGTGATATTTCCTCGACCGATTTTAATCCATTAAATGATCAATTTAATTCGATACCGATTATTTATTGCACTGTCCGGTATTATATTACATTAAAATTATTGTATTTATCAATTTGTATATTTTAATAAGCATCGTTACAGCATCGTTGAATTGCAGGTTGCAGATTCGATGTAATTTAAAATTAAAAAATCCAACGAAATAAAATCGATAATAAAAAAAGAAAAGAAAAAGAAGAGAACTGTGTGTTACTCACTAGAGTATTAATTTTTTGTAGCGTTAATGGTGGTGATATAATAGATAAGCCAAACGTGCCGCAAATGAAAACTATCTACTTGTAAAAACATCATTTTTAAAATTTGTAATTTTTTATTATTATTATTATTATTATTTTTTTTTTAATGAACATCTACTTTGAAATTAATCATTTTAAATCACTTACTCCATTACATTGAATGCAGTGACTTACATTCACCTCCATCTGATTGTTCTAATATTTTACGCAACAAAGAGAATTCATTATAGTTAGTATTCTAAATTACATTGGAATTTTTAATTAAAAATAGCATGAATATCATTAATTCGTTAAAAAGAGAAAACAAACAACAACAAAAACAACAACAAAAACAAGAGAGAGATAGAGAGATAGAGAGAGAGAGAGAGAGAGAGAGAGAGAGAGAGAGAGAGAGAGTGAGAGGGGGTGGGGTGGGGTGGGGTGGGGAGAGAAATTGTGTGTTGTTTATTATTGAGAGATCCAAATTAAATTAGGGCATAAAGTGACCAAGTCATGGATTGAATATAACAATTTTTCAATACAAAACATGTTGTTTACAAGTGTATGTAAGGCATCGCTATTACGCGTGCCAAATGCTTACATCAAATATGTCGGGTGGCCCACTATTCAAGTAGCGACAGGTTTGAATTATCGCCACCACGGGAATTATGAGAATCGGTATCAGTTGAATCAGAGCTCCCAGCTGCCTGGTCCAGACGGCCCAGTAATCCTTACTAGTACGCCGATACGTATACAGTTCTCGATATCCAGTACTCTTAAATACGGAGATGCTGAGCACCTGTATGAAATGGAAAAGGTCAGTTAATTCGGAATGAGCGGAATGCTCGACGTCGTTGCGCAGATCATCGGACTCGAGTGGACCGGCTTCGAGTACGCCCAATGCTCGATTTTACTAATATATCTTTGGTGCTAAGGTACTCGCGCTTTTATTAAACAATAAATAACCGATTTGGAAGCGATGCCGTAAAATCGTTGGACAATCGACCAACTTAAGAGCATTCGATGGATCCCTTAAAATTTAAATTCCTCGCTCAAATCCCCGACATTACGCTTCTTCTTCCCTCCCACCGAGCCCACCTTTTCAAATTCCTTTCTCCTCTACAAATTTTAGAATGGCATCGCTTCACGCCGTTAACAGGATGAATTAAATGCCATTTGAATCGCTCGTTCGACTTGACATTGAAGAGATCGATTTGAATCAAGGCGCAGGCAGACAGCCGCATCAACGACATTAAACGAGCATTTAAATGGCAAAGAACCAACCATCAGTGTAATGGGCAGGATGACGTTCCAGGTGAAGGAAAGAAGAGGCCCGGCCCAGTATTTGAGGCACCTGCCGGTTGGCGGGAACAATTCGGCTACGACGGCCTCACCGGTGTGCGGCCTCCCACGTACCGCGAAGACGGCGCCAACTTGCACCAGGTAGAGAACCATGATCCACCAGGCCCCGCCGACGGTGTAGTCCAGATAATAGACCACGTGTATGCCCAGCTGCAATTATTCCCAAGAGCTCATTGGTCAGTTGGCGCTCACACGTATCAATTTTACATTTCTTTTCTTTTCTTTTTGCACTTTTGACAATTTTCTTAAATTCAGCAAGACTTTGCGATGCGAGACTCCCCCCCCCCCACTTTGCACTCGTGAAAATACGAAATTTTCAACTCTCGCTGCCCGTAAGTTTCGCACTAATTCCTTTTTTTTTCTCTCATTTTCAAATTTAATGTTCGTCACATTCACCACGACCGCACGAACATTCGTGTATTAACATTTTTTTTTTTTTTTTTTTTTTTTTTTTTTTTTTTGAATCTACGCTCTCATTCATTTAACTATTAATAATGTTAATTTATAATGTATAGTCACAGCAATAGTCGATGCTTAGCTCAAATTGCAATAAAAATTAGAGAATATATCTGCTTCTAGTAAAACGCAAAGTCAATTATTACTGTAGCACGTAATTGGAATTTTTTATCTCCAATGGATTATTATCCACGAACGAATAAATGCAATTCCGGCGTTTGAACACTTTAAATTAACTTTAAAAAAGAAAGAAAGAAAGAAAGAAAGAAAAAAGTTAAGTAAAATTACCATTATAAAATTAATCGAACATTAATTTAACTACTGAGCGAGCGTTGAATAGTAAATTTTTATGTAAATACTTTATAATCAATAATGAATTACTATTGGCCATTCCCATGATCTATTATTAAAGAACAATCATGTGTTATTTGGAACGAAAAAAAAAGAAGAAATAAGTAATTGGATTAAAATAGCAAAAGCTAAGGTTTCTTTAAAAACTAAAAACCTGTAATAACATATGTTTTTACGTATTATAGTAGTAGTAGTAGTAGTAGTAGTAGTAGTAGTAGTAGTAGTAGTAGTAGTAGTAGTAGTAGTAGTAGTAGTAGTAGTAGTAGTAGTAGTAGTAGTAGTAGTAGTAGTAGTAGTAGTAGTAGTAGTAGTAGTAGTAGTAGTAGTAGTAGTAGTAGTAGTAGTAGTAGTAGTAGTAGTAGTAGTAGTAGTAGTAGTAGTAGTAGTAGTAGTAGTAGTAGTAGTAGTAGTAGTAGTAGTAGTAGTAGTAGTAGTAGTAGTAGTAGTAGTAGTAGTAGTAGTAGTAGTAGTAGTAGTAGTAGTAGTAGTAGTAGTAGTAGTAGTAGTAGTAGTAGTAGTAGTAGTAGTAGTAGTAGTAGTAGTAGTAGTAGTAGTAGTAGTAGTAGTAGTAGTAGTAGTAGTAGTAGTAGTAGTAGTAGTAGTAGTAGTAGTAGTAGTAGTAGTAGTAGTAGTAGTAGTAGTAGTAGTAGTAGTAGTAGTAGTAGTAGTAGTAGTAGTAGTAGTAGTAGTAGTAGTAGTAGTAGTAGTAGTAGTAGTAGTGGTGGTGGTGGTGGTAGTATAGGACTAACCGGGTGAACTCGGTATAGCCTTGATTAAAATAAAAATTTGCCAAATTTATGAGAAATCTTCCTAAACTAAGGATGTAGTGGAACCGGTAAATTTATTATTCCTTATGCGAATATCTAGAAACATTAGGTCATTCTTCGTGTATCCAGAATGTTTATCCAACGTCGAATGCGGTATAAACATATACAAATTCGAGTTATGCTCCAATTGTCCATCGGCCTTGGCTTTCACGCTTTTCACGAATTTCTCCAAATCATTAGTCGAATTCTCTTGATCCTTTAGAGTGACATTAGCCATTAGTACACAAGGCCAATCGAGCAGAGGATCCCATTTACCGCTAATTATTTTCAGACAACCAATTATATGCCGATTTCTCCACTGACCTAAGCCATTCAAGTATATTTCCATTCTTAATGTATAACCATATTCCTTATCATAGAATATCGGACTAAACAGAATACTATCGTTCCTTCTTGCCTCATTCATCTTCTCATTATACCCATCGATTCTCCAAATAAGTCGACCAATAATCGTACTGTCATTATTACAATTGCACATGAAATAATTCACCCTATCATTCCGAGGGCTAGTGGCTATACTTTTCAAACGATCCTCGACATAATCCATACTCTCTTTAACTTGAAATTTCAGAGATTTCCAATTTTTATTTTCTTGAGCTATCGCTTCAGCATGCCTTTGCATTTGCATTTCTAAGGCTTCAATTTTATCGAACAATGTATTGTATTTACTAACTAATTTTCGCGAAAGTTTGCAGCGCATTTCAAGCTCGAGCTTCGTGTCGTAAATGTTCTCCACTTGTTCTTCATAAAGTTTTAAAATTCTCGCGTTTTCGGATGTAAGATTCGCCTTCGTTTCATCTAATATCGCGTAACAGCGACTCCATTCTGCCGCGCTGCCGCGCCGCAAGCTCAGAGCTTCGAATTTCAATTTAGCTAATTCAGCGTTTGTTTGTTGAAGAACTTGCATCGATTTTTCTTCCATGTCTACGCGGGATTGCTCCAGACGGCTTAACTTTGAGTTTATAGCGTTGAACATTCCACGACCTTGGAACAACTCGTCGAGAATGTCTTTGCGCAACGCCTCGTTCGTCAACTGCAAGCTTGAAATTAACGTGCCTCTAAGTTCACGTACTTCCATTTCTCCCTCGTAAACGGCGGCTTTAAGTAAATTTAAAATTGACACGACCTTACTCTTCCAGGCAGAGTCTCGTAGAACGTGAATTTGTTCGTCGATTGAGCAACCGCTGTGCTTCACTTTATTTTTAAGTCTATGAAAACAATGGGCTCGATGCTCTTGCAATTCATTTCGTGGAATGTAGGTTCCACATTTTTCTGGACATTCTTGCAGAACCAGACCACAGTCGATTATGTGTTCGGACAGATACTTTGAATCCATCGACTTATTGCAAATGTAGCAAGACGCTATTAATCTTTTATTATTCACTCTTGTCGGATAAGAATTCTTCTGATAACTCATATTTGGAATTGACGAGAATAATTCTGTTATGTAAATATCTTAATGACAATATCAATATTCAACGACTAGTAGTCACGTTATTGGTCGAAAACACGCAAATTATTAAAATTAGTATTGCAAAATTTATATTTGAATTAAATTTTTATGCATTTAACGATATTTATAAAGTGCGTATCTATGCGAGTAAATTAATCTTAAAAAAAAAAATAAAAATAAAAAAAAAAAAAAAATAAAAAAAACGAAGAAGAAGCCATAAACAACCTTGTATACGTGTATTCGTGCTAGATGAATTCGTCTTAATGATTTTATACTCGAATAGTCGACGTTAATTATCAATTCAAATCCATGAGATTATCTATTTTCAACATTAACAAGTTTCGATATATTTAAATTCGATTTATTACCACTTTTTTCCCTTCGAATTTTACACAACTTATAGCACTTATCACATCGACATATCATATTATTGATAACATTTTTTTTACACATTCACCGTTCACTTCTCAGTATGGATCTTGATGTTACTACTATACACTCGTTAAATCGTTTTTCAGTTCCGGAGCATTTGATATTACTTGAAATTACTTGAGTTTGCAGTGTGCAATTTACAGTTAAATAGCTCGTAAATAAAAAGCTTCGATCTTTTGAAAAATATTTATTTTAAAAAGTTAGTATGTTGCACGCGCGTCTGTGTCCGTGAATGTCCGAAGAGCGCGTTTACTTATAATGATGAATTTAGTTTATAATTTTTATAGATTATTAATAATACGAGACTCGATAAAATGTGCAACCTAGATTTGCAACTTAACTACACCTTATTAGATAGGAAAATAATTCTTGATGTTGCTCGTTAAATAAGTCAAATTGAAATGCCTTAAAATTATGACTGACGGGCAAGTCAATGTTCACTTGCGTATAGATAAGGCTAATCGAGACGTAACGATGGATTTCACGAATTTGATAAGCGATAAACGTAATGTATATATATATATATATATATATATATATCTTGATAAGATTGCGATGTATGAGAATGTTATCATCTTCATTGCCGTTGAGCTCAAGCGATTATGTTGAGGTAATTTTGTAACTTTGTATTATTTAGTAATGTATAATTGCGCAAGGCAAAAAGTGACTTATCGATGGATGTTTGACGATCATGACAATTAACACGCGAGCAAATATCTTTTCAATCGTTCACTTACTGCCTCACCTATGATTGTCTTTAATTTATTTTATTTGTACGAAGATCTTAAGAATAGCCTACAAAAATTCGTGATAATACTTTACTCAATTTAATAAATCAATTTTTCGCTCCTTCCTCTAGAGTTTCTATTTAACGTAATATAACATTACTATACCATGTATACGAACAATAATTTCGTCGTTAAAATTATTTATATTTTCTTTGCAAATATTTGTATTATTAATTATATAGTATTATCGGGATGCCATTGAAGAAAAAAAGTAAAAGAAACAATATTAATATTATTTTCAATCTTTTCTTGTATACGTTATATATATATATATATATATATATATATATATATAATTGCTCGATTAGTCAGTGACATATTTTTAGAAATTGAAAATTTTCACAAACAATTACCTCGGTTGCCATTGGAAGCCCTAAAATGTAAGCACAGGCACAGCTGAAGAAAGTAATGGTCGTTTCCCATAACTTCATCATTTTGGTATTTATTGCCATTATACCAGTTATAACACAATGCCAGATCGCTAACTGAAATTTAATAGTAATACAATTAATTATGACATTGCGAGTTTCTATTGTCCGTGTAAATAATATAAACGTTATAATTATGTAAAATTGAGCGAATCTAAATACGAGAGTACCTTATATATGAAATTATTCATCATTACAAGAACATTTCAAACGAATTGTATCTACTTGATCTATTTGTTAAACAACTATTTACAAAACTACAATAGTATAAAATTGTCATTTTTTAATATCATCATCATCATCATCATCATCATCATCATCATCATTATTATTATTATACTACGGATATTAATTTGCGATATAATGTTAAAAAAAAAAAAAAAAAAAACGCAGCTCTGTGATACTTTGATACATTGGAGATAAATTCTATAATCCCGTGTAAGATAATTTTACAGCTTAACAATTGTTGTTTACAAATACATCGATATTTTATCACGATAAACTTAATAAGTCGTTTAAACTCTCTCGTCAGAATAAACGAATATTCCTTTTCGACATAATAAACCTCGTGCTATTTACTTATTTTACATAGGCATGCGAATGAATAAAATTAATAAAATGCGTAACTATCGCAAAGAAGTGCATTTACTAATAAATTTGTAATTCATTGGCCTTTTATTTACTTAATTATATAATGTGCACCGATATTTGCACTAAATATCGATCTTACAACTTACTTATATAACATAAATCGACGGTCACAGACAGTGTCGATTGAAAATGATATTCGTATTATAACGACGAATATGAGAGTTTTAATTTGTACTCGCCGCTCGCGACAAGTGCGAGTACACTTTTCCAAGCCAAAACAACAGTCCTCGCGGTCATCCGTCATCATTGTTATTATAACGGATATAACGAGGGAGCGTCCACGGCCAAGAGACGACTTAAACGAAGCGTATTGGCTATTTGGCAATGTGCCGGTGTATGTATCGGGTAATATCGGACTTGGATGTAAGTCGCCTAGAAGCCGGGGCGTAGCGTAAAATTGGCCGCGCCTTCCCCGGATAGAAGAAGGTCGCGGGATTCGTGAACTGACCTGCTGCGCGATGCCAAAGAGGATGAGAATGAAGTAAAAGAGGACGGACCAGAAGGGCGAGACCTGCTCGGTGCCAAGGATGGCGAGGGTCGCCGGGACGAGCTCCGTAGAGAGCCTAAGCGCCTGGTAGCCGGACTCGAAGTTCAGCTCGGATCCTGGCCGAGTGACGCGTTGGCCCACGAGGAAGGAGGCGTGCGCCATGAAGCGCTCCGGGGTGCTGCTCTGCCCCGGTGGCGGGGGCTCGTTATGGGGGTGCATGAACGTGTATCCGGATATCCTCTCTGTAATTTAGGGGAAAATGCGTGCGTGAGTCCCCGTGCTCATTTGTGACGTAGGTGTCTGCCATCTCGCGCGAGATTAAGATAGCAATTTTTTTTTTTTTTTATGGGCATTACAACGCCGATTTGGCCGTAGTCGGCATTGCGAGCTCTCAAGACTTACGGAATCTTGTTGATTACCTTGTATTAGCTACCAGCCCCTCTCAATCTCTCTCGGCGACCAGTGATTTATAGTGATGGTCGAGAGCACTCATACATGTTTATCGCAAGCTGAGCTCGCGCATGCATTTTTAATGACATTTATGATAATTTATTAGTTGCCTAATAAAGAAATTAGGATGGCCGAGGTGAATCGAATAATTCATGGCAAAATTGTCCGATGCGTATGTTATTTTTAACGTACCGATGTGCTCGAAAGGATAAATTATGGGCTGCCTTTTATGAGCATTCCTTCGCATTTCGTATGACGTATTATAATTTTTTAAAAATAAATCATTCTCGCCAAGTTCGGCAATTTGGACAAATTTTTAACATTGATCGCCTTGGCTTTTGAAATCGCAATGACACGATGCAATTAATCGACACGTACATTACAAATAAAATGTTCGATTATTAGGCAATTTTGTCATAAAGTGAATTCATAATTTATTAGATATTTTTACGTAACGATCGATCGCAACGCGAAATAAATAAATTTTTAATTCTAACATTCGAATAAGCTTCGACTAAAGTGTCTACTTTGCTATTTTGCTCTATTGTCACCAATATCTCGTAATCGCGTAAATATCTCGTATAATCGCGCATCAAGTGGTGCGCGATTAATCAATTAATAGATCGTCTAAAACGTATGAATTAAGTTAAAAAAAAAAAAAAAAAAAAAGGTGATATCATCTAATAAAATGTTTGCTGTGAAGAAATTATCGCAATACTTGATTATTAATAGAATTTATCGAGTCTTATTACGTGTGATCATTCGTATGTCGAACGCCAATTGTCTCCTATTAAATTAAAAACATAATTTAACGTCATGTTGTTGTATTTGTAATTTTTGGTTTTGTTAAGGCTAAAAAGGAAATTTGTAAACCAAACAAAAATGAAATATTAATAAATTTATTGGTTCTTAAAACATTCTGAATTTCATTGGATTAAATATTATTTAATATAGGATGTCTGCTTATACTTATGCATCTTTCATTATATGAAACCTTACGTTGTCTTGGTTAAAACGACATTTTATCCTCGATAATTGTAAATTTCAAAGATAACTTTCACTGACTTACCAAATGAGCTTGTTGTGTATGTATAACCGTGATACTTAAGGATCTGTACACATGTATTAGCGAGAAACGCAGCTAACAGAAGAACCACAAATGTTAATACGACGACGAGACTCGTGTCTCTCTGTAGCAGATGCTTGTGCTTGTTGTGTGCGGCTATCTAGAAACAAAAAAAGGAAAAATTATAATCTATCCTCGACTAGATTTTCCATTGCACAGATTTATCGGACAGCACGCGTATAACAATCGAATATAGCTTGGTCAATGTGTGGCAAAATTCTATTTTGTCCGCAATATGATTATCTCGCTCCTCTAGCAACGCGATTACTACACCAAATATCGAAACAAAACAATATTTCCAATATTATGAATATAAGAATTGAGATAAGATAATATAGTGGCGGCGACAATGTATACTAATCAAAGGACAAAACATTGTACCTGCATCGCAGCGGCTCCAAGAAGCCCCCAGGTGAGAAATACCTCGGAGGAGGCAGTAACCCAGGATCGACCGTTGATAAAAAATTCGGCCCATACAGTTGCTGGGAATAATTGGTGGATGGTCCCGGGTGGTGTGAGTCCCAAGAGTTTCGCGCACAGTATGAATGTGCCGAAAATGGGTATTAGCGTGAACACGTAGACAACTTTACCGTATGAGCGCAGACCTGGTGATTAACAAGCAATAGGCATTCATTCGTAGTACCGATTTATTTATTCATCGCTAATCTACCACTATATATATATATATATATATATATATATATATATATATATATATATACACACATACATATAATAAACCCACACGCGCGCGAAATATATTTGCTTATTTTGAAAATGATTATTGTGATAGACTATCTTGTTTTTTTTTTTTTTTTTTTTTTTT